TTGTGCTTTTACTGGCCATCCAACTGACATGTGTCCGACGCTTCAATACAACTCTTGTGAGCAAGCTAATGCAGTTTGAGGATTTCCGGGACCACCCCAAAGGAATTATGATCCCTACTCAAATACATACAACCCAGGATGGAGGGATCATCCTAATTTTAGCTATAAAGCACGCCCACAATTTCAACAATATCAGCATGTTCCACAACAACCTTCATCCTCACAACAATCATCTTCTAATTCAGGTATGTCATTGGAAGATATTGTTAAGTCACTTGCTACTAACACACAACAATTTCAGCAAGAAACAAGAACAAGTATTCAACATTTGGAAAGTCAGGTGAGCCAACTAGCATCTACCGTGAGTAGATTGGAGTCTCAAGGTAAATTGTCATCACAAACTGTTGTGAACCCAAAGCAAAATGTAAGTGCAATTACATTGAGAAGTGGAAAAGAGTCGAAAGAACATACTCAAGTAAGAAAAACACCCAACCAAGATGAGGAAACTGAAAAAGAGGTCTCTCAGCCTCAAAATGATCAAAATCATATTGGGGGGCTCCCGAAGTCTTTGGTAATTCCTCCACATTTTCCTAGTAGATTGGCTAAATCCAAAAAGAATGAAGAAGAGAAAGAAATTTTTGAAACCTTCCGGAAAGTTGAGGTAAATATTCCTTTACTTGATGCTATTAAACAAATTCCTCGGTATGCTAAATTTTTCAAAGAGTTGTGCACAAATAAAAGAAAGTTAAAAGGCAATGAAATGGTAAGCATGGGGGAAAATGTTTCAGCTATCATTCAGAAAAAATTACCTCCCAAGTGTAAAGACCCAGGTATGTTTGCTATCCCTTGCAAGATTGGTAATATTAATATTGAAAGAGCAATGTTAGATCTTGGAGCTTCAATTAATGTCATGCCCTTGTCTGTTTATTCATCTTTGAATGTTGGTCCATTAAAAGAAACGGATATAATTTTTCAACTTGCTGATAGATCTAATGTGTATCCTAGAGGTGTTTTGGAAGATATTTTAGTACAAGTGCAAGGTTTAGTTTTTCCTGCTGATTTTTATGTAGTTGATATGGAAGAAGATAATAATAATTCTTATGATTCAACACTAATATTGTTGGGAAGGCCATTTCTGAAAACAACTAAATCGAAAATTGATGTGCATGATGGTACACTGACAATGGAGTTTGATGGTGAAATTATAAAATTTGATATATTTAATACTACCATGAAACATTTGAATGGCATATCATCTGTTTTTGCTGTGGATATTTTATTGCAGGAAGTTAATTCTCATTTGATTGTTGATGATGAATTGAATGTTGCGCTGAATAGAAGTCCTAACTTTGAGAATGCGTTAGGACGGCGATGGAGTCTAGCCAAAGACGTTAAAGAAAGGCGCTGCTTGGGAGGCAACCCAAGGGGAGTTTATTCAATTCTTTCCTTTATTTGTTTTGCATTTTTATTAATTTTCCTCCTATCTTTACATTCTATTTAACATTTGGGACAATGTTAAGAATAAGTGTGGGGATGGGGTTTAACTATTATTCATTATTTGATTCTTATTATTCTCTTTAAATTTTTTTTTTCAAAAAATATAATATTTTTACTAAAATTCATAACATAATTGAATAATTGATCTTGCATATTATGATTATTAAGTTTAGTGTTTTGTTTGATATGGTGGTGGCTAAACTAAACAAGCATGAACCTGTGAGATTTTTGAGCCTCTGACTGACACTTCAGTCCAATTAATTTGTTCTTATGTGATATCTTCCATAGATATGTATCTCTAGAACTTGCCTTGATTCTCTTTAAAGCTAATTTGATGCATGCATGATTTTAATATGATTAAGGCCGTCTTTGAGTTTTAGCCTCACTAGCCAAATAACCTATTCATACCATGATTGATTTATCCTTTTTTAGCCACTTTGAGCCTTTTTAACCATGTTTTTTGCTATGGAACCACATTATAAGCTTCATACCTGAAAATGATTTCCTTAACCTTGCCTAAAGGACTAGGGGAGCTTTGATTGGGTAAATGCATAAAGAGTGAGTGTGGGGAAAGATGTTTGGCAAAATGTCTATATTAGACCGTTTATTATTTATTATTATTATTGTACATAGTTTAGTCTTAGATTATTTGTCATCTGTTAGATAGTCAAGACTAGTACTATTCTTCAGGATTAGTTAGAGTTCTTATTGTAATATAGTTTGTAATCTCTATCTTTTCAGTTGTTGAATGAAACGCTTTGTCCAATCTGGTATCAGACTAAGGTTTCGATCCTCTCTCCTCCTCCACAAATTTTTCCCCCTCTTTCCCGTTCACTCAAATCAGCCATGTCTACCAATTCTTCCGAGCACATCGTGTCTGCCAGTGGTCCACCATCTCCGGCCGACGGTAATCCCCTTGCTGGAGCGCATCACTACGTAACCATGAAGCTGACATCCCGGAACTTCTTGTTCTGGCGTATACAGCTGGTTCCCTTTCTCCGGGGCCAGGAACTCCTCGGCTACGTAGACGGTAGCTTCCCATGTCCGGCACCCACGATCGCCGCGGCTTCATCCGGCGACTCCACCAGTGCGACTCCGGCGAGTGTTGTCCCGAATCCGGCGCACCATGCTTGGGTAAAGCAGGATCAGTCCATCCTCTCACTCCTGATCTCGTCCATGTCTGATGAGGTCCTCTACCTTTCCCTCGGACGGAATACCTCGGCGGCGATATGGGAGTCGATCACCAGTGCTCTTGGATCATCGAGTCAAGCCCGTTGCCTCAACTTATTGGCGCAGTTCCAGGTGTTGCGTCAAGGCAACTCGACGACAGCAGAGTATCTCGGCCGTGCAGGTGTGTTAGCGGAGGCTCTCCTACAAGATGGTCGGCCTCTCTCCCTGATGGAACAAAACCTGTATGTCATCAGAGGACTCCGGCCGGAACTGAAGACCTTGGTTGCGGCGTTTACCAATGGGAATGCAGTGACATTGGATCATCTCTCCGACTACCTGGTGGCTAATGAATTCATCTTGGTAGATGAATATGTTCCCTCCGACGCCACTGCTGCCCATTCCGCTTTCTATGCAGGTTCCGGGCGCGGATCATCGTCCGGTAGTGGCCGGCAGTCGCAGCAACCTGGGCGCGGGGCGGCGACAGGTGGTCGTGGCGGACAGAACCACTGTGGCCGTGGCGGGCGTGGAGGACCGCGCTGTCAAATTTGTCGGAGTCACGGCCATTCTGCACTCTACTGCTACAAACGCTACCGGCCGCAACCCGCCGCACAAGCCCATGTAGCAGTCTCCGGAGATGCTCCACCGACTCCGGTTCAGGCTCCGTCAGATGGGTGGTATCCAGACACCGGAGCCACATCACATGCTACACCGGACGCAAATATGTTGGCGCAATCCGAGGAGTACGGTGGCCCGGATGTGTTACGAGTGGGTAATGGCGCAGGTTTGGCTATTACGCGAGTCGGTCGTGCATCTATTTCATCCGCGTCAAAATCCCTGTGTCTAAATGATATATTATATGTCCCGAGTCTGTCTGTTCCGTTGCTTTCCGTACATAAGTTTGCAGTCGATAACAAAGTATTCTTTGAATTTCATGATTCTTGTTTTTTTGTGAAGGATTCAATCACCAAAGCAGTTCTTCTTAGAGGTCCGGCTACTGGCGGGCTCTACAAACTTCTGGCGTCAAACACTAATTTCGCGTTCATAAGTGCCCGGGCAACTCTCACCGTTTGGCACCGAAGACTGGGTCATCCTCACAAAATTGTCCTCAATAAAGTACTGCAAAATTGCCCAATAAAATCCCCACAAGTTGCCGCGGATGAATCTTGCGTGTCGTGTCATCTTGGGAAGGCATCACGCTTCAAATTAGATAGTGTGCCAAGATCTAGTGAAAATGTATTAGATCTTATATTCACTGATATTTGGGGTCCTTCCCCCGTATTATCTGTTAACTTCGTTACTTCTGTCTATTTGTAGATGACTTTTCCCGTTTTTGCTGGTTTTATCCTTTACGGGTAAAATCAGACATATATAAAAGCTTCGAGTCATTCCGTGTGTTGGTCGAACGTCAGTTTGGATTTTCCATTAAATCTATTCAATCCGATCTAGGGGGTGAATACCACAAATTACACGCTGTATTTCAATCCCTAGGTATCAATCACCGTCAGTCATGTGCCTATACACATGAACAAAACGGCCGAGTTGAGCGCCGTAACAGACACGTTGTCAAAACGGGACTTGCTCTATTAGCCGAAGGGAAAGTACCCCATGAATATTGGGAGTATGCGTTTGAAACCGCAACTTGCCTAATCAACTACTTACCCTCGTCAACCATAAATTATGAAAGTCCATATACTCGTCTATTCAAAACTACTCCACCATATACCTTCCTTCGTGTGTTTGGGTGTCGGTGTTACCCATATCTACGCCCTTATAACAAGCATAAGATTGAGTATCGCTCCACCCCGTGTGTCTTCCTAGGTTACCCATACACCTTTAGGGGTTATAGATGCATGGACTTGGCTAGCGGCAAAGTCTATATCTGCCGTCATGTCCTCTTTGACGAAAATTTATTTCCTTTTGAAACATATTGTGTGCAACAGGTAGCAATGTCACCAAGTGTGCCTTGGGCCGCAGCGCCTATTGTGACAACAAATACACAATCTACTGGCTCATCACCCCCGAATCAAACCGGGCCACATTTGGCTACAGATGCCGTGCCCTTAGCACGGGAGTCCCCACCGTTAGCTATCACTCATACTGCCCCGGCTCGAACCCGGAAGCGGCGTGCACAGCCACAAGGACGTGATCATGTCATGCGTCTTCGCCACATGACTAGGGGCTCCGATGAGCCATTTCAAGCATTAACTGTCAGCACGGATCCCACTTGTTACTCACAAGCCGTGGGCCATCCACACTGGCGAGAGGCCATGGATCAGGAGTTTAACTATCTACTCCATAATCACACCTGACGCTTGGTTCCACCTGAACCGCATATGAACATTATTGGCTGCAAGTGGGTATTCCGCACCAAACGTAATGCCGATGGGACAGTTGAGCGTTATAAGGCTCGTTTGGTTGCGAAAGGGTTTAACCAAGTTGCAGGAGAGGACTTCTTTGATACTTTCAGTCCGGTGGTCAAACCGACCACGGTTCGCATGTTATTTTCTTTAGCCATATCCATGGGCTGGACTCTACGTCAGTTAGATGTCCACAATGCCTTCTTAAATGGGCATCTGTCCGAAACTGTTTACATGAAACAACCTCCAGGTTATGAGGATCCCATGACCCCGGGACATGTCTGTCATCTGCACCGGTCCCTATACGGGTTGAAACAAGCACCCAGGGCTTGGTTCAAACGCCTACATGATTTTCTGCTATCCACAGGCTTTTAGGCGTCTAAAACAGATGTCTCTTTGTTTTATTATGCAAAAGGTGATTCCCGTGTTTTTCTGTTGGTCTACGTTGATGACATTATCATATTAGGCAACGATACCGCTCTCATCGAAACTCTACTGGGCCGGTTATCCTCAGCTTTTAAGATCCGTGATCTAGGTGCACCGGGATTCTTTTTGGGTATCGAAACAGTTGTGGTCAGTGATGGGTTACTGCTTTCACAACGTCGTTACATGACGGATCTTCTTGGCCGCTCGGGAATGGTTGATTGTAAGCCGCTTGCGACTCCAGCCGCTGTATCAAAGGCTGAAACCCCATCTGATGACCCTTATGATAATCCGACTCAGTATCAACGCATTGTTGGGGCTCTACAATATTTGACTATTACTCGGCCTGATCTGTCATATGCGGTAAATCGTCTCTGTCAGTTTATGCACTCCCCGACTGTTGACCATTGGAATCTTGTGAAACGTGTTCTCCGTTACATCAAAGGGACTCTTGATTATGGCCTTCGACTTACTCCGTCTTCCTCGACCTCGATCCATGCTTATTCGGATTCCGACTGGGCAGGCTGTCCGGTTGATAGGAAGAGTACCAGTGGCTATGCAGTCTACCTCGGCAGTAATCTCATCTCGTGGCTATCCAAGAAGCAACGCACCGTAGCTCGCTCCTCTACATAGGCTGAGTATAAGGCGTTAGCGGATGTATCTGCGGAGGTCACCTGGGTGGTTTCATTACTTCGGGAACTCGGTCTGCATTCTGGACAACCAGCGACACTCTGGTGTGACAACCTAGGTGCAACGTATCTATGTGCGAATCCGGTTTTTCACGCTCGCACCAAGCACGTTGAGGTTGATTATCATTTTGTCCGTGACAAGGTAGCCTCAGGGGACTTCGTGGTGAACTTTGTCTCTACTACTGACCAGCTTGCCGACATCTTTACGAAGCCGCTTCCGTCTCCGCTCTTTTCTACTCTACGAGGCAAGCTCAATGTAGCCTCCCTGCCACCTTGTGTTTGAGGGGGTGTATTAGACCGTTTATTATTTATTATTATTATTGTACATAGTTTAGTCTTAGATTATTTGTCATCTGTTAGATAGTCAAGACTAGTACTATTCTTCAGGGTTAGTTAGAGTTCTTATTGTAATATAGTTTGTAATCTCTATCTTTTCAGTTGTTGAATGAAACGCTTTGTCCAATCGTCTATTAGTGGAAATAATGATTTTGTCATTTTATGAGCTTTTTGGTTGGTATTTTCAAAAAAAAAAAAAAAGAAAAGAAAAAAAAGAGGAAAAATAGTAGAATAAAGAATTTGAAGAGTGCATGGGTGATGAACAAAGTGTACGTTGCTCGTTGTTGAAGCAGAAATGAAGGAAAATTATATATAATGATTCTTCAAAAATGAAAAAGAATCAAAAGAAAATGAAAAGGAAAAAGATGAAAAAAAGAAAAAAAATACGAAAAGAACAGTACAGAAAAGAGAAAATGAAAAAATTATTATTATTATTATTATTATTATTATTATTATTATTATTATTATTATTATTATTATATTTTTCTTGTTTAATAAAGTATAGACATTTTATGATCTTTTGGGGATGTGATAGTTAATTTGGTTGGAATTAAACTATCAAAATAATAAGAGTGATTGGTTTCATTTGATCTTTATGTTGAGTTAGTTCATTCAATCATGCTCCTCTAAGTTTTTAAGGCTTTTTGAACTACTTTTCCAAATATTTCCTACCCTTTACCCTAACCTCATTTTATATATATATATATATATATATATATATATATATATATATATATATATATATATATATATATATCATGGACCAATATCATGTTTTCACCTAGCCTCATTACAACCATTTAAAAAGTCCTTATGATTTGATCATGCATGTTATCTTGTAGTGGAGAATGAGAAGATATGCAAGCCTATGGTAGAGCATTTCTATAGGAATTGATTTGAGTGAAATATACACACCCTTCAAACACTTGTGCGTTATGAGTGATATTCCCGTGAGAGCTTGGTTACTTAGTTCACTCCATTTTCAAATAAATTGCTAGCTAGTTATTTATAGTGTGTTTGAGACCAATGTTCATGAAGTGTTATGAGTTTTTATATTTATATTTTTCTTAATAATGTCTTTGCTTGAGGACAAACAAATGATTAGTGTGGGGAATTTTGATAAGCACAATTTATATATTAAATTTAAATTAGCTTTTATAATAAATTAATTTTATTTATTTAATAATATATTTGATTTAAACTTTATTTTATATTTTGAACTAATATAGTAATTAGTTGAATAATTAGGCTTAATATTCATATTAATAAGAATTTGGCTCAGTTAATGATTTGGACTAAGTATTTTCTTTTTATTGTTTTAACTAGTGGCCCTAATAAAATAATTTAATTGTTTTAGTAGCCCAAAATCCAATCTAACTTATTTCCCTTTTCTTTTGATTTCAAGCTCTATACGTAATATGTACGTACACTTTAGAGCAACGCGCAGAAAGCGAAGAAGACTCTGTCCGCGACCTCTGCGATTAATTTCGTCCGCAATTTGATTCGATGAAGGAGTCCACGGTTGATCAATATTTGCGGCAACTGCAGACGGCTTCATTGAGCTACATCCATGAACCAGTTAATTGAACTAGAGGTTGGAGCAACAATAGCCTACCTTGCTAATTTTCTATGGTTAGAAAAAATAAAGTTTATTTATTTTTTTTGGTTTTATGTGGTTCAAGAAATTGATTTAGTTTGTGGATGTTAGAGAAATTAGGGTTATGTTTAGTTGATTAGGGAGCCTGAACTAGTATAAATAAGGATGGATTTTTCAGTGGAGGGAATCAGTTTTCTCAGAATAATTTTATTTTACTGTAAACACTCCTTGCAATGTACTGCTGAGTTTTAATTTTCCAACTCAAGGATTATTGAAGTTTGATTTTACAAGACCAGTGAGATTTATTTAGCTTAATTTTATTCTCTGCACTTTATTATTTATATATCTCCTGTTATATGGGTTTTAATTATTGCTTGATTAATTGTTGCAAAAGGGCCCTTTGTTCAATTGTCAAGGTATTAAATTGCTATTTAAAACCTTGAATCCGTAATTGTTTAAGTGTTCTAAAGCTAGTAGCAAATAACATAGTTGATTATAAATTAGATTTTTAATCTTATATTATGAAGATATATAGTCTAGCTTAAATGAACCATGCTTTTGAGTTTGTTGGCTAGAATTGGTAATCTTTCTAATTCTTTAATGCTGTTAGTAAATTAAATCCTAAGAGCCTGTTTAGGATTGTTTATTAGCTAGGGAAGTAATCAAAGAGCTTGTTTTGATTATCGACAAAGTAAGGAAAAATAGGTTGTTAGAGCTTGTTAATAACCGTAACCAATTTGGTAAAGAGTAAAGTAATTTAGTCTTGGGAATCAATGATCTGTCTTGTTAGAATTAAATTGATATTATTCCTTGAGTTGGATACTAGTTGATATTGATTATTTAATATTTCGTATTGTTTGCCTTTTTATTGTTGCTATTTAGTTTCCAATTCCCATCTCATTCTTTATTAAATCTTTGATTAAAAATAAGTCTAACCAATCTCTGAGGGTACGACCTTACTCATCACTATTGCAATTCCTAAGAGTAAGTGATTAATTATTTGTTGGATTCGACACCCATCAGCAATATTATTAGTTACAAACAATCTGCATATAAGTGCCAATACTTGTTATGTGATCACCCACCGTAATCCATGGTATACAAAATAAAGATCCTAATTCTATTGTCTCCCCAGAATTTATTTACCCCATAAAAGGCAAGAACCTTCCTCCTAATTACTTATAATCTTTTCCTCAGAACCTAATTTCCGCTATTTGAATAATTGTTATATGATTTATGACCTTCCTGAATTTATATGACAAAACGTTTTGTTATACCACAATACTAAGTACGTGAATTTAATTGTTAATCACGCACTAGAATAACATGTGGAATAATACATATGTGTGTTTTATGATTCCATAGGACTAGTTATTATTTAAAGACTTGAAATAAATCCACATACCTTCACACTCTATACCTATAGACTTAAGGAAATTACATATTTAACATAATTACAATTGAACACATATAGACATGCCAACTTGCAGGTTTTGCATATAACATAAATAGTTAACTATCATACATGTTAGGCTTGTTATTTCGTAACTGTGAATATTTGGTATAGACTGCTAAGCACAAAGATTAGACATAGATCCTACATAGACGGCACCTAGGCTCACAACATGCTACACTACATGATTAAACGTCTGCATCCATTCGTAAATGAGGTTCGCCCGTGTTGATACATGTGCATATGCACTTTATAATGATTATGTGGCTATCTGAATCTGCACCCATGTGGCATTTGCCTCTCATTTAGGTACATAAATAATTATATTATCGGTACAACTCGTGATCCTATATGTTGAATCATTATAAAATAATTAAATGAGAAACATGCCAAATGTAAGACTTCTATGTTATATATCAGTCACCCGTAGGACTTACATATTGTGTGTTGCATATTCGTAACCTTGTCATTTGGTGCTTTTTGCTAGCACAATAGTTAGGCTCAAACCCAGTAAATTTATGTGTGTATGTGTATATATTTCCCATATAATACTTTCCTTATGAACTACTATACTAATTCGGGCTCTTTACCCCAAAATGATTTCTAAGCTTCGGGGACGAAGCTTCTTGTAAGGGGGGGAGTGTGTAACACCCCGTGTTACGGCCCTTAATCCCGAATTAATTATTTAATTAATTCCATTAATAATAATTAAAAAGGATTTAATTTGATTATAAATCCCTTTAATTAATTAATGTGGTCCACCGCGAATCGTGGACCCTTGCCTAAACTAGAGTCATAAGCCTATTAGAAATAAAGAAAGTGTACCTTTACTATTCAGATTATGATTAGGATTCTCTTTAATTAATTAATATGGTCCACCATGGACCATGAACCCTTATCCCTAAAAGAATCCCTTAATCCTATAAGGAATAGAATTAGTAAACCCATACCATTCAGACCCTAATTAGGACTCCTAAATATATATATAAGGACATAGGAGGCACCTAGAAGTCACACCACAATAATTATCACCACACAAGAATTCCAATGGGACTCCCCACCACCAAGCCTAGGGAGATTAAAACGGATGGAAATCTTAGGAAAGAACCTTAATAGCCAAGGGATGATTAATTAAGGCTAAGAGGTAACCCATGTCTCAACAAAACCTATTTTCTTCGCTATAATCTTCTTCCTTGGCCTCCTTCTATATGCGTCTGCCTTGATTAATTCCTCTATGTTAATTGTGACATATTCTTGATGATTGATAAGATGATTTGTGTGTATTCTTGATAATCTTGATGATGAAAAGAGGTTCTTGATGTTGATGTAATGATTCTTGACAAATCTGGATATTTCTTGATATTAAAGATAAATTGTGATTTTGATGATTTGGGAGGGATTAGAGCACTAGAATGAATTGGGAATTTGTGTTTTAATGTTCTTGATTTATATTTGGGTGGGAATTCACATGTTCGGGTCTAGTTTGATGTTTCGGGTACCGTTCGTAGGATAAGTAAATCTTAGGAATTGCATGTTAGTTGAATTGGTAGCCCGTTGA